CATTATGTGATCTGGACGGCGGCGATGCTCGTCTCGTGTGGCCCGTCCCAAATGTCACTCACTGGGTCGGCCCCAGGCGCTTCAAGAAAACGCCGGTCGAGTGTGCAACAGCACGTCGATCTTGAGGTCGCCGCCGGGCGCGCTGGAGGGTGAGAAAGGGCGAGGCTCACTGAAGAATCCGAATTGAGAGGTGACTCACAAGATCCGCGGTGTGAGAAGACACAGGACCCGGACTGAGAGCGAGTATTTACATTAGCTCGGCGCTGTCCTGAGCTCATTGTCTCTGGAGATCGACGCCTGGAATGGCGCTCGGCGTCTGGTCTTTTGCAGCGCCGTGCTGGTGCCGATTGGCCAGAGGTTATCTCTTTCCTGATGTCATCGCCGGCAGACCATCGGTGCACTCCAAAATGGCGTCGGCCTGTCGCGCAGCCTGGTCAGGACATTCTGGTGAGCAGTTCAGATGAGGCGGTGGGCCGCTCCCAATCGGCGGCTGACGTGGCCCTGCTGATGTGGCACGACCCCCGAGAGGGCGGCCGTGCAGCGTGCAGAGCGCAGCGCGAGATGGGGCGAGGGCCTGACTGTGGGATTTACCCTGAATCAGAGCCAGTCCGGACACCTACCGGGCGAAATCCTCCTCCATTTTGCCGCCCTCTTGTCACACCGCTGCTCACCGCAAAAGCCGAATGGATGTCCCGGATTTCGCGCCGAGCTCGAGCCTCCGCCGGTTACGGCTTTGTTGCGGTTTGTTGCACGGATATTGCACCAACTGGGTGCACGGCCCGCAGCGGCAGGTGGCTCCCTCTCTCCGGCCCTCTCGGCCCAGAGGGCCCACGCCTAATTCTGGAATCGCGCCGCGTCGCCATAACCATTACCAAATGGCCGGCAACGCCTCGCGGGGCGCTGCAGAGCTTTGTTCTCCGAGCCGTAACTATTCTGCAAATACCTCGAATGTTTTGTCTTCATAGGGGCAATAAACCGCAGAAGAATGTTGCCAGATGGTGAGAAAAGTCCGTAATGGACCTGTCGAACGTGCAGGCGCGGGCGCGGCGCCTCGCGGAGGACGGCGCTGCACGGGGGCAGCACATCTGCGTGTCATGCTGCGGTCATCGCGGATGATCGGCCACGAAGTCGCGGGACGGGGCCGATCTGTATAACCACTGCAATCCGGCGCGATCCTGCAGTCCCCGAGGCGGTCTGGCCGGCTCTCGAGACGACTTCATGCTGTGAGAGGCCGCTCGGACGCCGCTCCGGCTCCGCTCTCGGCAGGCGGCCGGGACGGCCCGAATAACTCGCCGCGAACGCCGCGCCTAGCCAAAACTGGCGCGCACGGATTACGGGCGCAAATTTATCGTGCTCCGAGCGCCGGCTGAGATTTACACAGCTATCTTAAAAATCGTCGGTGGCTCGGCGGGGCGTCGATTCGGCGATACTCGTTGCAACGTCGAGCGCATTCATTATTTATGGTCATTAGTCTGACGTTGGACTCGTCGCTCATCCTCCGCTCTTTCTCCTGTCCGTATCCTCCGCGGCTCTTTCTTAGGGACCTGTTGCCGCCCGAGATGCCGCGAGATCAACAGGTAGGGTCGGCCGGGTTCAATTTTGTTTTTCGTCGCGGCGTCTCGGCCGTATTCAATAGTTTGGAAATACCGACAAGATCAACGACACCCGCGCAAAAAGCCGAACCTGGCGAGACGGTGGCAAAAACGGCCGCAAAAACGCCCCCACCGAAATGTCGGGAAGAGAAGAATTGCCTTGAATCCAATCGCAGATAAAGGCTAGTATTACCTCGATTGTAGGACACCAGACGCCTTCGGCTACACGCGGCGGGGACAGCAGGCATACGGGTGGGAGGGTGTGGCCCAGAAGGGGTAACCGTAGTCGGATCGGCAAGTCACCGGGTAAATATTGAACGGGTCAGCGTGTGTGGCCGCGAACGACCCTCACCTCATGGCTCGCCATTGGGCGGGGATTCGAGGTTCACTTTTCACGCCAGGAGGTCTGCCGGCCAGACGGGGTGCCCGATAAACGAGTCCGAGAGTGATATCAAACTTGGGGTCATTTCATGCATATTAAGTCGCGAACAGCAGAAAAACGGCCATAAAACAGTCTGGGGAGTGTATAAATGCAGCAAAACTTGCCAACGCGGCGTCTCCCCGATGTGTGGAGCGCCGCGGGACGGTGAGGAGGGTTGCGGTGGTGGAAGGAGGCACTGACCCCGCTTGGGGACGCCGGGAAGGGACGCGCGGACCGGGTTTGCCAAAATCGGTGCGTAAGGTGTCTGTCCAGACAGGCGCCGACCTCGTGGGGGCCAGTTTTAATCTCTCACCCGGTGTGCCAGTAAGGGCATCGGGTGCACACAAGATATAATTCGAATGAAGCGCGATCTATGAACGCCTGAATCGCTTAATGAGACGCAAACGGTGTCATAAACCTAAGTGAAACATGAGAGGCTCGGGTCTGACTACAACGGTGAAGAGAAACGGAATGGATGTTCCGCTTGGATGCACTAGTTATTTAGCTACATTTATCCAAGCCTAATAAAGATGTTCAAATTTATGCAATGTCCGTTTCGCCACTTACATTCACGATTTACCGAGTGTGCATTGGTGTTTCTTGATAGCGAACATCTCAGCTGGATGTGCCCATCGCAGAGTCATGAACATCCATCAGAACAAGCGCCGCATTCACGCAGACAAGCGCGACTCTCTGCGGTCACGAGTGACCCACTGGCGCGCTGTCCGAGAATTTCTCATCCTTTGTTTCTCTGTCCGTTCCGAGCAGCGCAGATCACTCTGCTAATGAGCTCGGTTTTTAGCGACGAGAGCAGAGCGCATGCAATCGACTGACCGGTCGGGGTCACGAGCGTTACATGCTCCAGTTGGGGCCGATTTACGGTGCGCCGGACCGCTTCTTCTCCGGAGATTGTTGAGCACATCATGAGGCGCCTACTCAGAGCTGTGGTGAGAATACCGCAGCGGCAAGCGAGAAACGGCACCAGACCGGACAGCCAATGTGGCGAGGAACTTGTCTGACGCTGAACCGAGTCGCCTTGAACTACTTTTGGACAACAAAAGCAACCCGACCTGCAATGATATCTGGAACTAGGTTACATGAAATGATTTGAGCAAGCTTGTTGACATATAGCAAATAATGCAGTTTAAGTAGGTACTGTCGTGCATTTGCTGGAGGGTCGCTACGGTAAAGGATCTCGCAGCATTAAAACTTTCGGAATAAGTCTTCCGTCTTCTAAGGATAAAGTCGTCGCAACGCTGTCGACAAAGGTGTAGTGGGTACATCTCGGCAATCTATCTGACCTCGCCGACGCAATAAACCACATCGAGCTTGCACAAGGGCCGTGAGGTCGTCGTCCTCTCCCATCCACTCGCGTTCCGCAACCCATGAACCACACACATCATTCCCTCTCGTGCAGAAGACACAATCGGTAAATGACTCATTTCGTGTACAGAAAGTATGTCTGTTAGCTTTCTGAATGAGAGGTCAAACGGATCAACACCATCCACACCGCCGAACAAACTGTGAATATGCCGGAGGTTACAGCCTTACACGCTTTCCGCAATTATCGACGATTACTGCGTGGTCCGCGTGCAGCTCTGGCCACGCCATGCGCACCACCCAAATCAGTACCGGTGCACGAGCGGCCCGCGCCGATTTGCATACTCTAATGGCGCGTCTGGGTCGGTCGGTGTCACCGTCCTGCCCGCCGGCGGTCCGGGTCAGCGTGGGGTCACGGGGCCGCGGCCGGCGCGCCGCCGCCACCTCGTTCCCGGCCGGCCGAACGGCCTGCAAATTGCACATGTTTGCCGGTAACGGCGCACCCCTTATATGGCGCGCCATATGAGAGGCGGAGATCGTCGCCGTCCGCGGCGGCGGCATTAGCATGTGAAAAGCCTGCAATGACTCGAGGTGATCTGATATGGGCACCCGATGGGAAATCGCCCTAACCAACATGGACGCCATGATTTCGCATTCAGTGCGGGGCCCAAGTGGATCATCGGAGAGTTTTTCCGCCGCTTCTTTTGCAACGGGTGCTCGAGAGCTCCCACGGAGGCGGCGGGGTCACGGAGCGAGCGGGCTCTTGAGGTGAGGTGACGAAACAATACAGAGCCTCGAGAGGAAACCGGAGAAAAACAGAGCCCGGTTCCGGCCCCGGACGGCACGCCCTGTTGTCCAAAGTCAACAGATCGTCACCGACCGCTGTGTGCTCACGACGATCTCCGAACAATGGATGGCCCGATCGACCCGTCAAAAAAATCGGTACACCACCCGCCATAATTTAGTCGACAAGAAAAGCACGCCCCAAACGGCTATTAGCTTGACGCAAACGCGCAGGTCCTTATTAAGTTAATTATCTCAATTACCTTGGATCGGGAACTCGGGACATGTGCTTGCTTTCTGACACACACGGGGCCGACGAGCACAAGTGTAACTTTTTCTGCGAATCGAAATCAATCGGGCGGCGCGCCGCGTGCGTCGGCGGGTCGGCGGCCGGCGCGCGTCGAATTGGTCCGCCTGGCTCGTGACGTTCCGTAATGACCGTCCCGGGCCGGGCCAATTGACCTGAGCCGTGGCCAGCACCGGCGCGCGCCGCCGACGCCAAAACGAAGCACGGGCGCTTTTTGTGCTCTCTGCCGCTCGGCGCATGGAACTGGAGCGACGTCCAGTGCCGCGGAGAGCTGAGAGAGGGTGGTTTGACGAATGCACGCAACCAGTTCGTCTGATGGAGCTGGGTTGCGATGTGATTGCGAGCGGGATTCAATCACACGCGAATGGGCTGAGCAATTATTGGAGACGAAATGAGAACAGCGGCACGATTGACATAAGAGAAGGTGAACAACTGATTGAGTTCTCGAACAATACAGGGCACAACCGGGACAGCGATTGAGATTACCGAGGGTAGGTAAGTGAAATGAAATAGTGATGATGACGATACAACAAAGAAAGCCTTCACCCCATGTATCCTCCAGTGACAGGTAACTCACCTGCAGGGCTCTGATGCGCCTCGCTGGGGTCGGACGGAAAACCGTAGATGCCGAGGAGCTCGCGCATGGTGTTCTCCGCGTAGCGTTTCATCTCGGAGGGATCCACCGCCGCCGGAGGCCGGCCCGGCAGAGCGCTGTTGATCTGCGTCGGCGTGCGCACCGTCAGGTCCATGGGCGCCGGCTCGGAGGCGCTGGGCCGCGGTGGCGCGCGCGACTCGGTCAGGTCGAGCGCCTGCTCGTCGGTCTCGCTAAAAGAGTCTCGCGTCTCGCCGCTGACCTCAGCCGCCGCCTCGGCGTACTGGTAGACGATCGCCCGCGGCTGAAAGTTCTTGCGCTTGTTGCGCCGGCCGGTGTCGGGCGTCGGATGGTCGCCGGCTTCGCCCGTTGGGGATGCGTGCGGTGATGAAGACAGCGGCAGAGGGGTCGGGGAGGCTCGGGGGGAAGCTCGCGGCGATGCCTGGTGGCTCTGGTCGGTGGACATGGTGGCAGAGGGCCACGGCCAGCTCTCGTCCCCTCCCCCGGCACCCCAGTCGACCGTGTCGCTGTCCGACTCGCCGGGCCGACGCTCCTCGTCTCGCTCGTGCTCGTCGTCGTCCTCTTCCTCCTCTGGCTCGTCCTCCTCGGCCGGAGGAGGGTCCTCGTCGGGCTCCGAGCGCTGTCCGCTGGCCATCGTGTCTCCGTTCAGCGCCGTGTCACCGCCTGCGGGCATCGGAACAGGTCACAGAAGAGTCGAGAAATGAGTCATACCAGTTGTTGTAAACACTGGACGAGTGTCATGCATCATAGTTGTATTGCGGATTCGCCTTTGCCCTTTGCAAATATTCCCCTTCCATTACCTGTCTTTTGCATACAGTCTAATTTTAATCGCTCTTTGTTCTGTTCAGCGTTAATAATCATTCCACATTTTCAAGTCCCACCGTGGGAGCTTACCCGAAAGCATTGAACAAAAATAATAATACTACAAAAGCTTTCTCGGGAGGCCGGAGCATAAAGTGTCGGGCGTGCAGAAAGCAGCTGTTGCGAACCGCTCCATTTCGGTGAATGTGGTCGGAAGCGTGCAAGGGGGCGGGGATAGTCGTGAAATGGGAGGGCGAACTGGCGAGAGAGAGGCCAGCAGCCGGCAGAGGGGGGTGAGGTACACACAAAACGTGAGCCGAGAGAGGTGCTTTGTAGAATATCGAACAGCCCTCACCGGCACTTAGTACTTCGTTGTGTGGTAGCCCGTGGGCTATTGCACCGTATGGGATCATGATCGGTGTTATATAAAATATATATTTGTTTATTTTACGGCACCTCTGTGCAACGTCCCAAGCCTTGCCGGTGTCTGTCAAGCACCCGGTCAAACAACTGTCCGATGCCCTGCCCACACCCGTTGACAAATGCCTGTCAGTTTGTGTACTGTATCCTACACCCGTCTTACTCCGTTGGGTACTGTCAACCAATCGAACAAATGGAATCGCAACTGACACATACGGCCATCCAAATGGCTGACACATGTTCGACCAATTTGGGAAGCGATTAAGCGTCTACGTATTGGACAGTCATCTAACTTCATTGGACTCTCATTAGCTAGTCATTTGGCACATGTCCGATATTCATCTGACATTAACATGTCGCTCATCTGACAGCCTCACTGGCGGCAGGGCCTTCTTTGGCACTTGCAGCGGCGCCATATCCTGGCTATTTTCGACTTTTCATGTCACTTCTAGATCCCGTCTTTTTTACTGTTACTCCTTTCCATTCGGTAATTGCTGTCATATCCTGAGTACATCAGTCATCAGTAGTATTTGGTCGGCCGTCGGTGCCACGTCCTACAGCTGCGCCGCCCCACCCCCTCTACCCCACCCCGCCCTAGCACTCTTACCCCTATTACTCCCCCTCCCCACCCCGCCACGAACCCCCGGGGCCTCGGGAGAGCTCCGAAACAATGGTGCCGCTGACACAGCTCCCTAGCCCGGGGGCATTAATCACAGCGCGCGGGCTGGGCCGAGACGGAGCACGACCGGTGCACGGTGCACGGCCGGCGTGCACGGGCCGTGCACACGCTGCACGATACGGAACAGACAGACGATGCATCAGGCCGCGAGAAGTCGGCGAGGTGAACTACTTTCCGACGCGCCGCCTTATTGATGAAGCGGCGCCGGTGAAGGGACGCATGGAACTGGCGAGCGAGGTCGCTCCTCAAGAGATGTGAGCTGACAGGGAGGCTATTTTGGTGAACGTTGATCTGAAAGATCAGGTGTATGTGCCTTTGAATGTTCGTTTATGAACTTATGAATGCAAATATTATTGGCTGCTCTTATCCATGCTGAAGCCGGTGACAAAGTTGGTTAAAAGTCCACCTAGGAAAAGCAAATGCATTATTTTCAATTGAAGATACGTGAAGGGCTCCAATATAGAAGGTGATGCGTAAACATTTATTTGGACGGGATAGTTCGTAATTCAGAATACCCGGCTGTTCATAGTGTCGTACATAACATTGAGTGTGATAAGAAAATGTACGTTTTCTCTTCACTCTTATGCTTTCTTCCCATAGTGTCATATACAGTGTAACTCACAGAGGCTATGGATGAAAGATGCAGCCTTCATCCATGCCGAGGCACCCAGCCAAAATATGCATGCCATAATGCAAATGAAACCAGGGAAGCGTAAAAATCGGTGGAATATTGATGGAGCAAAGAGAGACATTTTGTCCGACGATTTTTTCACTCGGTAAATAGAAGCTACTTACAAATACGGACGTGACATTGGCATTAGTTCTGTAGGCATTTGTAGAATCATGGCTGCTTACCTAAAGCGCTAAGACTTTCAAAAAGACCGTCCACATATCTTTTTCACTTTTTTTTAGGACCATACAGGGTGATCCAAAAAATTTGGAACCCCTAACTGAAAATGTCTGTAAGTCCGAAAGTATTCACTTTATTGACAAATTGCAAACACCATTAGAAAGAGCATTAAATCCTCTATAAAATCACGTCAAATTAGTTAATGTGTGTTGTAAAGCATTGACACACTATTAGCTTTTGGAATGAGCGTCAGAAAACTGAGTGAAACGAAATCGCCAATTGTTAACAATGCACTGAAGTCCGTTAGCACTCCATCTGTTGTTTTTTGCGAATAACACCACATCCAATTTCAATTTTATTACATAAAAGTTTACACAGAAGCACACAATACAACAGACACACGCGTCCTAGCTTCCGCTGTTCATCATAGCATGTGCTCAAACCGAGCTCCGTTGGCCGTCACGCAGGCCTGCAGTCGCTTCGGGACGGCTCCGACGGCGCAGGCCAGCAGTCTCTGGAACAACTGATCCCAGCAGGCCGTCAGCCTTTCCTTCAGCTCCTCTTTGGTGCTGATCCTCTGACCTCTATACATAATTTGCTCCAGTTCGCTCCACACGAAGAAGTCCAAAGGGTTGAGGTCAGGACTCTTCGGTGGCCAGGCATCTGGCTCGATGAAGGCCGGGCAGGCCTGTTCCAGAAACTCGACCACTGAGTGGGCCGTGTGGCACGGAGCACCGAATGACTATTTTTTTTTTTTGCTCCTGTTGAAATTCAAATTCCTTACAATAGCACGTGAATGAGCTATTTTTATTCATGAACATCCAACATGCGACATGGTCAGAACAGCAAACCGATGTTCGAAACCGTTTCAGTGAGTTTCGTGACACCAATTTTATAGGCATATAACTAGGGCAATATTTGTAATAAGAGCTAAGTTCAATCAGCTTGGTTTTATAGAGAATTGAACGCTCTTTCTAATGGTGTATGCAATTTGTCAATAATGTGAAAACTTTCGGACTTTAGGACATTTTAATTTAGGGGTTCCAATTTTTTTGGATCACCCTGTATATGTAATGACTGCAAATGCGTCGTCGTGAATGGAACGATGTGATTTGGCATCTCTACATAAATCGCTAAAAAGAGATCATTAACATTTCCAGTCAAAAATTATGCAGTTTGGGTCTTATCTTTGCATTGGGTGTGAAATGTAGCGACAACAGTAAGACTCCGCTATGTAATGGCTGCAGTAAATCCGCTCCATTAGTGAGATTTAAACTAACATTTGCTGAAGAATGCATGCGTCACCGCCACACCCATCAGAGATCTGGAGACTTTGGCCGCGCCTGGTTTGATTGACCCCGAAACCTGGGATGAACATACATTCGCGAGAAATGACCAATGCCCAGGCAAAACAAACATTTTGGGCGATGCCGTATGCATTATACATGCCTGGCAGGCGGCAGCGCATGGCTGACTTCTCCAGCCCAGACCGCGAGCCGGGCCGCATTTTCAGCAGGCGAATGGTGCTGGTGTCGCCCCTGCAGAGCTGCTCTGAATGCAGAGAGCTCACCACCACCCCAATCCCGTCACCCGACCTTTCTGCATTGACCCACATACCTGAACAGCTTTTTTATCACGGCAAACCCACTTCATCCCGCTCTCGACAAACATGACACCACCTCTCGCCGCCGCACAATGCGTGCAATCACGGAGCGGCGCACAAAACCGGCGCTGCCGCCGCGCCGTGTTTACTCTCCGCGGACTAAGTGACGCCGTCGCCGTGCATAGTGCTCGCCGGAAACACGTAAAAAGGGGTGTCGGCGGCGGCGGCGGCGGCGGTGGCTGGACGGCCGGCCAGCCGGGCCCGGCCGCGGTCGCCGGGTTTATTTACCCTCCCCAGCCGACGGGGCCAGGTCGGTGGCAGTGCCTCGGCAACGGAATCCTGTCACAGAGCGTCCCCACGCCGGCCACCGTCGGAGCGGGGCTCAGTCGTCACAGCAGTCAGGCACGGGTGTGGCACCCGGGGAGGCGTCGGGGTCACCGCGGGGGTCTCAATAGCGGGAGATGCTGATCTCATACCAATCGATTGGTGTTGGCACGAGCTGAGAGCCGAGCTGGCGATATGCAACTGGTAGTGTTTGAAAACACGCATCTGTTGATTATTTAGGAGCATTTTAGCACCTTTATTGTTCACTTAAGCGCATCGCTTATTTTCAACAATATTTATTCGGTGTAGTGTGGTTGTTTTATGGCGGTTCGCACTCGTTCCTTTCAGTCCCTCACACTGATAAGAGACGGCGATATTTAAAACAAGCGACAGCGTTCTTGAAAGCCAGAGGTGGCGGTCATAAATTTTGCGCCAGCAATGTTGGCGACCGTGGAACCTTGGAGAGTGTTGTGAGCATAAATCCCAATTTTGTCTTCAGTGACAGCGGGGTTAACAGGCGTCAACCGCTATATCTCCGCCCCACCTACTGACAGATCTTAGAGCGCATTATCCCCGCTGACACGTCAGCTCTGGGATGCTGCTCTGCCTGCTCACCTGGGTTGGTGGGGCTGAGCTCTGAGGTGTCTGTACCCGTTTCTTGCTGCAGCTTCTGGCAGATCATGTCCAGCTTGAAGGCAGGTCTGCTGGCCAGGTCTGGTATGGACGTCATCTCTGATATTGCCCTGAGGAGAGAAGAAACGACAGGAGTCAGTCCTAGGACTCCTAGGCCACTATGTCTTTACGTGCATGCGCTTACGTTTATTTGCATGTTGATTGTTGTGAGGAAGCATGTCGGCTCAAAGTACCAGTTGTCTCATGAGGCCATTATGTTATACGTAAGTTAGATGCGTAGATGAAGGACAAGGATCGCTTGGAAGTCTGCAGTGTCCCAAAATTATATTTCAGCTTTGGTGTCGGAGGGGAATATTCGTCACTATAAAGAGGGCTGAGAGTGGAAAATTGCCAGTTAGAAGAGTACAAAAAAAGAGCAGATAACAGATCAACAATTCATTTCTGAATGTTGGAAGATGTGGAAGCTGTCTTAAAAAATCATTGAATCAAATATGGAAGGAGGTTAAAGGTGCAAGCAGATGTTCCTAATTGGTAAACTAGGGAGTGAAAAATCGCTCTTGAAAATTGGAGGTGAGAGTGGAAAAATATTTTGATTTGGATGTTACTTCTCACCCAAACTGGCAAATTTTGGGACACTGGAAGTCTGTCGTCGCGTTGCTGACATTCAATGGTCAGAAGCCAGCCTTCTGACCACCTCTATAGAGATAAACCAATAGCCAGCGGCAGCCGAAGGCCAACGCTTGGTCTATTCAGTAGGACACAAACACAAACTCAGTTTGGGCCGCCTTTCACTATCCGCACTCAACTAGAAGCAGCGTTTCACAGCAAACGCTGACCAGCCAACATCTCTCTCCAGCCAGTCCCGGGGAAGGACCGCGGGCCCGCGGCGGATGCGGCCAGGACAGCCCCTGATTAATTAGTGCACGGCCGAGCGAGCCGGGCCGCAGTCGCTGTGGATTCAGTCGCGCTCGACAGCCAGTCAGGATTGTGTCGGCCGCTATCTACCGCACGCGGTCAGAGGCCAGATGACACCTCCACTGGCGGGTGCACACAGACGTCAGCCGAAAAGAGCGCGTATAAATCAGACGCAGCGTGAAGCCGCCGTGACCCGCCTGCCATGACCGCCGCAGGGCGTGCACTGCAATGGCGGAGAACGGCTCAGAGAATGGGCGGAAATGCAGATGTAGCATTTGAAAATTGAGAATTATGTTTTTTAGGAGCCATGTGTTTTAGAAGTCATGCTCGATTACTACATGAAAGCATCAAAAACATGAAAATACGCAGATATGTGGGCATCGAGCATATGACATTAATTGAAAACGTTTTTCTTTTCGTAACGTTGCCCACCGAAGCACCAAGTCACACAAAGCACAGCCAGAACATGGGTCCAGAGGCCAGAGCCTCCACTTGTCGACCCGCTGAGTGGAAGATCCGCGCCATTTTTTTTCGGAACGGGTTACGGGGGGAGGGGGCTGCACGCGGCGCGCGTTATCCCAAAGATCCCGCGCGCGCGCCACCCCTCCGCGCAGCCCTTCATTCATCAAAAATGCAAAATCATTAACGGTGCCGCAGTGTGAGAGGCCAGTCCCACATCCTCTTCCATCGAAAGGGTTGCCAGCTGGGCGTAAAAATTCAAGTTTTTTATGCATTTCTTTGACGTTATCACTGATGCCGATTTTTTGCGTGTGAATCAAAGAGAAAAAAGCGACAATGCGCGTGCAGCGCAGGCGGCGCAGCGCCGCGGGCGCGGAACCCGCTTATTCTCCCAGCGCCCGGACAAGGGCGGCGAAAGGGTTGGCCGAATAAAAGGAAATGGAAGATGACTAGAGCGAGAAAAGAGTGGGGCGTCTTTTCTGTGTGAAATTTCAGCATGTCATCCCAGTAATGGCGCCGTTTGGATTGCCATTGCCGGGAGCAGGGCTGCAGCTGGCGGCGGGGCCCGCAGGTATACGCACCAGTCGTCGTTCCGCCGCCGGTCGGCGCGACCCGACCCTGAGCGACAGACGAGGGAGTCGGCCCGGCGCTGTCGGGCCGATTTGTACCCGCGGCGCGGTGAAGATGTCGGCAGCGGCGCGTTCGACAGGTGAAAGACTGGGAGTCGATGGCACGCAGAGCCATCATTAATCATCCGCAGATCGGCCGTCCTTTCTGGCCGTCTCCAATCTTGTTCCGGAGTCTCGCGACCTGCCTCTTTCTCTCCCATTCCTCTAAATGCCATCATTCAGTCCAGATGAATCGGGAAATCTCCACAGAATCTCCAGCGCCTAAACTAACTTCAATTCTAAATAATCACTATCTTGTCCATTTATTTTCAATTATTTTCCTCCATCCATCTTTGAGGCTGCCGGGATCACATCCAAAGATGAGTTGCCTTTTCTGTGCTTGGCGAGGGAATAAGGCGTTTTGCCTTATCACGGTACAGATCTGGGGGGAAATCGCTACCGAGGAATCCAACCAAAATCCCAGTCTTCCCGACCGGTGATTCAGCCGTTCGCACAGGAATGACAGCCGTTCCCGCTATGGAGCTATTTCTCGATTCGGAGCTGACCTGTCGTGTAAAAGGGTTATGATTACCTCGCTGGACTGACAATATCCGACAACCATCTTAAACATCTCACAACTATTCCCGGTCCGTTTTCTACCGTTCCCGTGGCTCGCGAGCCACCTCTACTCCACCCCTCCTCACCCCGACCGATCAACCAGCGCATCTGCAACTCGCTGCGCCACAACCACCGCAACAACCACACCGCCGCGGCAAAACCGGCGCTCCTACGGCACAACCGACACACCACCGGCAGCGTCTGTCTGGTCGCTCGGACGGCGGTGCTCTCGGACAGCCTCCGGCCGGACAGGCTCACTCATTACGGCAGCAATGATGAACGGTTGGACGTTTACAGAAAAAGCCGCGACTGCGGGCGCCGCGGTGACGGCTCGGGGCCGCGGGGCCGCGTGACGGACGGAGCTTGATCTCGGCACAGGCGGCCGCTCACAGACTACAGAGTAGCCAGGCCCCGAGGTGCCGGCCTGGATGCATCAGGGAAGCGCGGAAATGCATTACCCGGCGGGACATGAACGATGTTACTAAATTTGACGTGCAACTTGCCCCGGCGGCTCTAGGAGGAAATGGAAAATAATGTGCTGCATTTATTGTGAGGTACTCGTCTAATGATTTTTGTCACACTTGTGGCGAAGACGTTTGTCATAAGAGCGGAATTATTTTAGGTTTAAAATGTGCTGAAACATGAAGGCAGTAACGATGGAGCAATTATGCCACCATCCGTCTCCAGCTGTCAGTGCTGGGCCTTGGCGACCACCGTGGTCGCGCTACTTTTAATACAGTAGCCAGCCGCTATTTCACTTTGTAATTAATTTGTCAAATCGACCAGCCGCGGCGCTCGCCGGTAATGCGATTAGCCGGCAAATGTGATAAGCACATCAACATAATCCACGCGGCCGTGCACGGTCGGGCAATCAGAGACTACAAAAGTGGGGAATCCTGTTCGGTGCAGCTATCAGATTAGATCCGAGAGCACTAAATTATCCCGTCTGCACACAAAAAGACGCGACTGTCCACAGCGTCGTCTGTCTCGGGCGTCTGTTTCACGAGCCTCCCGGTTTCAGTTTCTTAGCTTCAGAGAGTCTGATGGCTGTGTACATAGGTTAGTGTGCGTCTCATCTAAAATTTCAGTAATACACAAACACTTTACCGTGAAAATAATGTTTCTGTTGACACCATTGTTTTGTAGGAAGTGTTAGGGGAAGTTGGGGCAATGCCGGAGTTGGGGCAAAGCCGAAATTCGAGATATTTCGAAAACCGTAAAACATGGATGCCACCTGTCAGTGATGCTCTGAAGCTTAAGTGACTACAATTATCGCATGTTTGTTACGAGTCGTCATTCGGAATACTTCGACTGTGAGGGCGCCAAGAGCGTTTTCAAGGTACGTTTCCCTTGTACTACATGCGCCTTTGAAGCTGCATTTTTTACTCATTATGCTACCGTTTGTCTGGCCAATTCGGTCAAGTAATCTTTAGCATGTCTTTGCATAAGTGTGCTGCCTATTTGAAATTTATACAGCACGTTGAAAAGCAGGGATGCGGAGCCGGAGCCGGAGTCGGAGCCGGAGCCGCCGGAGCCGGCATATTTTGCCCGGAGCCGGAGCCGGAGCCGGAGCCGTGAAACAATATAGCCCGGAGCCGGAGCCGGAGCCGGAGCCGCCAAAAAAGGGGGCGACTCCGGCTCCTTTTTATTTTTTGAAGAGGAAAAAATAATTGACCTAGTTCGGTTTGACAGTACAAGGCAGTAAAACATATCGTACTATTGGTCTCAATATAAGTGCCCAGGCGACCTGTAGTTTTGATGCGGTGAATACCCTCACCCTCGCCACAATGCGAGTGGGGGTGGCGCTGGCTGGGAGGAGGGGTGCACTCGGCCCGAGTTGTGGCGAGGGTAAGGGTATTCACCGCATCAAAACTACAGGTCGCCTGGGCCCTTATCTTGAGACCAATAGTACGTCATGGGCCATCAATTGAATGAAAAGCCGAATATCCCCAGTATCCCACAGTACGCATTCAGCTTCCTGTCTGCTCCTCCCCCCTCACGTCTACTGCATCCCCAGAACATGAGGACCGGTCATCAGGTGACGGCCATTGTTTTGAAGCCAGTGCAGTGGACTGCGACTCCCAGCGCCGTCTCTTCCCACCCACCCCCCACCCCCACCCCCACCCCCACCCCTCACCCCCACCCCCCCAATGCAGCCGAGATGGGTGTCAGCTTACGATGGTTCAGTGAACTCCGATTCGCGGCGACTGCGTTTCCAATGCCATCGCTTCCTAGTCCTTTGTTCTGCCAGTGCTCTCCGAGGTGCGTTTGCGCGGGGAGTGCGGTGAGCCGGTCATGGCAAGAGTAGGTAACGCGTATAACCAATCCAATTTTTCTTCCACCCGTATTTAATTGATTGCATAGGGGATGTACTAAGTCGGAGCCGGAGCCGCCGGAGCCGGACCATTTTACTCGGAGCCGGAGCCGGAGCCGGAGCCGCCATAACATTTCACCCGGAGCCGGAGCCGGAGCCGGAGCCGATTTTTTTCTCCGGAGCCGGAGCCGGAGCC